ATCGCTGATGAGGTCAAGAGCAGCTTCTTCGCTCATCCCGTCTGCAAAGCCATCAATGGCATCAATGTCAACTCTTGGATAAAGGGATTTGGTCATCGCCAACGCCAGACTTGCTCCCATACTTCCAGCTTCTTTGATGTTCTTGAAATATCTATCCGGAGCAACTCTCAGCTTGTCGAAGATTTCAGAAGCATTAAGTGTACTCGGGCCATTGTTATTGAAGAACATCGCTTGAACAAGTGGGGTAGCAGCGTTAGCGACTTCATCCCGGGCTCCTTCAAGTTTTTTCATCTTGCCAACCAGGACGTCGAATTGAGCCTGCGACTTGATCTTACGGTCTGCATCAACAGATTCACATTAATAAGTCAGCATATGGAAGATAATGGCTTTTGAGGTATTGATTGTTGGTACCTTCAACCTCCTTTAAAGCCAAGTCCCTCTGTCTTGCCAGTTCTGCCTTGTCATTTTCTAGAGTTTAAATCTGCTTCTCCAGTTGAGATATCTTGGCAGCTTGCACTACATTGACTCTGGTTAATCAAGATTACAAAGATAACAGCACAAGTTAGTTGGGCAGAGTTTGTGCGTACCTTTTGATGAGCCACTCAGTTCAAAATTGGATTCCTGGAGCTCAGCAATCCGATCCCTCAGATCATGTTCATTCTTCCTGGCAAGTTCTTTTGTTTCGTGCAGTTGATTCTTGGTGGCTTCGAGGGTTCCGAGATGAGGGACTAACCTCTCTAAGGTTGCCATTTTAGCTTCGTTCCTAAGATGAATCCTCTGCAAGACAGTTTGATTAACGCTTGAACTAAATGGCAAACGAGATGGTTGAGATCAGGCGCCAAAGAGCTTACATTTACAATGCGGGTTGCCTGACCAAGCGCCTTTTTTAGTAGGCATAACTCTTCGTCCTCTTTTTGCTTATTTATTACGATTCCTTGAGGCTGCATGTTGTCATCCCACCACTTGACCAGAATGGGAGGGCGCGAATCCTCAGCTGCTCGTATCCGGAGGATTTCTTCTTCCTCACCAATTATTGGCCCTAGTGTATCCATGAATAAAGATGAAGCAATCAAATAAAGTATGTTGGATCGTAATGATTTCAGATAGCGTGTTTACCTGTGATGATTCCTGGTCGAGGACGAGTGGACTCTTGTGTCTTCGCAGGAGATCTGGTTTCTGAATCATTGCCAGCATCCTTCCCGGGAGGACTATTTGTTTGAGCTTCAACCTCGGGAATCTTTTGGCTTGGCCCTGTATCCGACTGATTTCCAGTCGGGGGCTCCTGGTTAACTCCAACTCTAGCTTCGGCCGACTGGCTTGCAGTCGTGGGTTCGTCGCTGGGTTCTACATTGTCGCTGGCCTGCGGATTATCACTCGGGTGATCTTTTGCAGTCGGCCCGGTTTCTTTTGAGGAATCCGCTTCCATGTTAGTTAGGTCAGAGTCTTTCTCAGAAGGATCTATGTCAAATGGTTTCCTACAAGTTTTGCTATTAGTGTTATTTTCATGATGGGAGAATATTAATACAAGGAAGATTGTTATATGATTTGTACCTGGAAGACTTTCTGATTTTTGGTAAAGGACGACTGGAGGTTTTCTTCTTCGGATTAGTTGGCTTCGGAGGTCTTCCGGTCGCTCCTTTATCTTTGAGCTTTCCGGTATCATCGTCTTCGTCGTCACTTGGAACCAGCTTCCTCTTGCGAGAATCTGACTGGCCGACTGGATCAGAAGCACTTGGTTGGGTTTCAGACCGAATTCTTGGTCCCCCGCTTCACTGACTAGTTTGGCGGCGAGGTGATTGGTGCTGGGCGATTGGAGGATTTGACTTCATCAATGCGAACTCCTGAGCATAAATGTCGAGCAATTCAACAAGAGACGAAATCATGTTTTTGAGGAAGGTTGGAACGTTTGAATACATACCGGTGGAGGAGGATTGAATGCATTGAACGGTACGACTGGCAGCAAGTGTGAATAGCTGACAACGATAGCATTTGAGAAGATCTTATACATCCTTTCCTTCATGACCTTGAAGTCAAGAGAATCTGGATCTTCACGGTTTGGGTCGTGCCTGCCGTCAAATTCGAAGGCTGTGCGAGATCTCTCTTTGATTGGAGCTAACCGACACTTGATAAAGTGCCGGGTGATCTGTTCTCCTTGAAGGCCTTGTTCTTTTAGTTTTATCATCCTCTCCATTAGTTCCACTGCTTGCGCAGCTTCATCTTCCATTAGCAGTGAGTTCCAAGTATCCCGATAAACTGGAGGAAGACAGGAGTACTCGGGGAGAGCAGGCTCAGGGTTTTGAACATAAAACCAATTTGCGTGCCAGCCTTTGTTTGAGGTTTTGAAGGGCATAGAGAAGTATTTTTGGCTTAAGGTTCCCCTGAGTTGGAAACCAGCCCCCCCCCCCCTAAAACACATGGTTTGCTCTTGTTTGGCTGAGGCTTAAGGAAAAAGATGTGGCGGAACAAGGCGAAATGTGGCCGAATACCTAAAAAGGCTTCGCAGGCGTGAATAAAATTAGCGATGTGAACTATGGAGTTTGGATTCAGATGATGCAGGCTGATTCCATAGAATTCCCCAAAAAAATCTTGAGGTTGGAAGGGAGAAACCGCTATAGAAGAAATGAGCAAATACCACGACTTCATGCGTATCGGGGGTCGGGAATGCTTCGCCGAATGCCGGTCGCCACCCGATGATCTCCTTCATCGGAAGAACGCCATGCGCCACCATCTCCTTCAGACTATCTTCTGTCACATCGGAGGGCGCCCATTGACTCTCGAAGCTTTCTCTTTCTTCCGCCATGAATGTGAACTGGATGGTTTAATTTGGTCCGAGATATGGCTGGAAAGGGATGGGGAATCGGGGCGGTGGACGTGGGGAGAAATTTTGTGAAGTTTTTGAGGATGGATTGGAGCGGATTGATGAACCCTAGTTTTGCCGGCGCAGTTTTGTACTGTAGCAGGAAATGGGGAAAATGGCGAGAGTCTTGGCGGGGAAGACGAAGAGACGTTTTATTTTACTTCGGTGTTATTAGGGTATCGGGAGTACTAATGGGCTTGGGCCTAAACACAGTACTTCAGCCCAATTTTATTTTCAGCGTGACCCGTTGTGATCCCTAGGGACTTAGGCGCTTTTTGCTTTGGCAATTTGTGCTCACAATGATGTGGCCCAATGCTGTTAAAATCCTTTTTAATATGGTTTGGTAATTCTTTGGAATTAACACGATGCAAACAAAAGGTGCCCGACAGGAAGGTGTTATACTATTTTTGTCAGCCTTATTAGGCTGCAAAAGCTGTTTGGGGTTATTCGAGATGACTAATTTATTAAGAGTCATTCTCTCAGCATGTTATATGCTTAATTTGGTTATGGTGAGAGTCATAGCTTAGGCTATTAGACTCGTTGATTACCATCATTTTTATCATGTTTGGTGAATCATTTTAAGAGTTTCTTACTCGGATTCCTATCAAATATGTCTATTTTTGGACCTTTTGAGTGTTTATCACTCGGCCCTTTTCGTATTTTTTATCTTTGATATGTTCAAGTTGAGAAGCAGTCGGCTGGGTATTTTATTGAGTACCATGCATGCTTCGTTATCAAACCACTCGGTTCTTGACTACATGTTTAGTTTTTCAACTAATCACATAGTCGGGGGCTACACCTAATTAGGTGCATCTACTCGATGCACCATGTTTTATTTTCGCCCTTCACAGTGTTTTAGCACTCGGCAAGCTGGAGCAAGTTGAATTGAAGCACTCGGATTACTGTTTTTTGTTTCGAGAAGGCTATTTTGTGAACTGCGAAGGTCTCGGGGGCTACTGTGGAGATTATGGATACCCCATATCAACATGACAGTTATAATTTAGTCGGATATACGGTACCAAATATAGATAGAATATCTTTATGAGGATTCGGGTTAGTTTCTAACTTGTATGTCAAGGAAATACCCGAGATTTCAGTCGGTTACGATTGTATTTTATCTGTAATCACATATTCCGTTAGGGATATGGACTGTATTTTATAATACGGATCCCTTCCCCTATATAAGGAGGGGTCCGGGTTCCTCTCGGGACGATTCTTTTTTCCCAAATCATACGATCAATAACATACTCGGCGGAATCATCCCCGGACAGGAGTAGGGTATTACTTCTTGAATAAGAAGGCCTGAACCTGTATAAAATTCCTTGTCTCCAAACCCATCCACTTTTCTAGCTTGATAGCCACCCCCTTTTAGTATTGCCGAAATCTTGTTTCGACAAGCCTCCACTCCTGATGCTCGCGGGCTCTGCCTCCTCCTTTTCTAGGCGCCCGGGCCATTTCCTCCTTTTCAGGCGCCCGGGTCAATGGTGGATTTGTTTTTTTTTTGAATTTTGTCTCTTACTTAGGTGGTTTGGGGTTTTTTGTTTTTCTATATGATACTCCCTCCGGTCTTCGTTTCATGTTATAAGACGTTTTGACTTTGGTCAAAGTCAAACTGTTTGCAGGTGGACTTTAACTAGCCGTGTCTAAAAAATCGACCTGCATTTTCGCATATGGTTTTTTAAGAGACCCGCATGCAAAAATATATTTTCACTGGCGGCCCTCTTAAAAAGCCCCATACAAAAATAAACTCATTTTCACATGTGGGCCTGTTAAGAGGCCCGTATGTGAAAAGTCCAGTCGATGTCCCTTCAGCTTAAAAAATCTAATCGCCCACCCTCATCCTTATCCTCTCTCTTTCTCAGCTCCCCTACCCCACTCCCTGCTCTCCCACTCCTCTCTTCTCTCTTTTAGCCGACGGTGGTGGGTAGCGCCACAGCGGCGGTGGGAACGTGCGGCAGGATCCAGTGGTAGGCAGTAGGAGCAACGACAACGGTGCTCGGCGTCGGCAGTCGCAAAGGGGAGGCAGTGGTGGTGGCTGGCGAGCTGCGGCATGTGGGCGGAAGGGCAGGAGCGGTCAGCGGCTGATGGGAGCGGAGCGGCAGGTGAAAGCAGCCGACTGTGGGCGGCGAGTGCGGATCCTACGATGGGGAGCTCGGCGATGGCGGATCTGGTGGCTTGGGGCTCGGCGACAGCAGTGACGACGAGAACTGCGGCATGCGGGTGGAAGGACGGGAGCGGTCAGCGGTGGGAACTGGGAAGGGCGGCGCGTATCCAGCAATGGGGAGCTCAGCGGCAGCAGTTAAGGTGGCTTGGGGCTCGACAACGGCATCCACGACGATAACTGTGGCATGCGGGTGGAAGGGCGGGAGTGGCCGGTGGTGGGTGGTGGGTACGGATCCTATCACGGGGAGCTCGGCGATGGCAGATCTGGCGGCTAGGGCTTGGCGACTGTAGCGATGATGACAACTGTAGCATGTGGTGGGTGGAAGGGCAGGAGCGGCTGGCAGTGGGAAGGCCCGCGGGTGCAGATCCGGCAATGAGGAGCTCAGCGGCAACCAATCTGGCGGCTTGAGGCTCGGCAATGGCAGCGACGACGATGTCTGCGGCATGCGGGCGGAAGTGGCTGGCGGTGGGGAGGGTGGCGGGTGTGGATCCATTGATAGGGAGCTCAACGGCAATGGATCTGGCACCGTGGGGCTCGGTGGCGGCAGATCTGACGCGGGGAAGGGCTTAGGCTTAGAGGCAGTGAGTGAGGGACCCTCCCCCTCCGCCTCCCCCTCCCGCGCGGATGCTGCCCCCAACGCGCGTGACGACAACGGCGATGACAATTAGGGTTATGGTTTGGGGAAATCGATTTTCAGAATTTTTTTTGCGATTTTCCATTCTCGCAGTTGGATGACTTAAGCGTTCGCATGCGGTTGATCTATCCGTACGTAAAAATCCGATTTTCTCATACCTTTCCACCCAACCGTTTGCGAAAATAGATTTTGGCCGTATGCAAAAATTGATTTTGTAGTAGTGTATATCGAAATTGAAAGTAGAAATCTTGGAATTAAGACCGTGATTGATTACTAATATTTCTGTTTGATTGATTACATTAGATTTCTTAGGTGGTAGTATTTGGACCTTGGAGACATGCTAACGTACGAAAGGCAGAATACATTATATTTCTTAGGTGGTGTTCTTTGGACCTTGGAGACATGCTCACAGACTTAAGTCTGGTAGAATCAGGCTACACATACACAACACAAAGCAGAACCTGAAGCGGACACTCATGGAAAGCGAATGACGTGAGTGACGAATGGCGACGCGGACGAAAGCAACGACGGACAAAACATACGTAACGATTAGAAAAATAGTAACTTTTTAATTAGTTAAGATGTGGTGGGAGAAGTACAATGATGGAGGAGGAGGACGACTCCGTTTTTTTTAAAACGGTACAGGATATACGGAGGCACACCACACTGAGAGCACTACACATGGCACACACGTGTGCATTCCTAACCCACACTAGGAATGATATTGGTGGCACTAGGCCTCAGTGCACGGAAAACATACATTCCTACTGAACGAACACTGTGTACCCTATTCTTTGATCAAATCACCTAAAGGTGATCCATGGTAACTGGGGAAAAAACCTCCGTTAGGCAACGCAGAAATCCGTTCCCGTAGGTGTCGAACTCGTGCTGGTAGGTTCGAACCATGTTGAACCAGCCAACCGCTCTGGCGGAGCTCCTCGACGACTCCATTTTTATATTTTTATAGTAGTAGAGATGTGTGAAATTTATAAACTCCAAAATGTATATTTAAGTTTTAAAAGATTGAACCAATCTTACCTAAACGTCAAAAATTATTTATAAGTACTTGTCTAAGTCATAATAGCTAATCAGCGATAGTTAATTTATTAATTAACGCTTTAATTTGAGGATTGAATATTGGCTAGCTATAGTCTTTTGTTATTTTTACACATCTTTGTGATGATTTCGTGAGCAATTCGTCGACGAGGCAAATGTGGTCACCTGCGCCAACGCCACACAGCTCAAGAATGAATAGCCATGATGTTATAGATTATAGTTAAGGTCACCGTAGATCATGTCAATTCCAAAGGTAGATTGACATTTGCAGCTCAAAACTGTTGGCTTTTGCAGTAGCACCATTATATCAAATGCGAAACCATTGGCTCCAGCACCCTCATGTTGAAGAGAACGAGTGCCTCAATGATTGATGCATTATATTTGGTATAACAAACCAAATTGGCATCTAACTTTGTTGCATATAATTACTTAGCCTCTAATGATATCCAGGCAACGAAACACTATACATCAATTTATAGCTCCATTACCCATAGAGGCTCTGCTGAAGCTACGTGAGTTCACCAAGTTTTGAACCTGGTGCATGCTTTGTTTTAATTAACATGTTGCATATCTAATAGTAGATTCTTTTGGATTAGGTAGAAGATATATCCAGGAACTAGGAAGGGCTTTAATTAATTGTGACATCAATAAAAATCATCTTATATCCAAGAAGGGGAATTATTCTAGATGATGTTGTAATACTGCAGGCCAGCTTACCATACTTGCCTGGCAAAAGAATAATTCAGTTGCCCATTGTCATTGAGGCGCCTTACACATGCGCATATTCATTCATCAGATGAAATCTCAGGTTGACAAGTGTACAATATAATAGAAATTCAATCTACTGTGATTTATATCTGCAAAATTTCCTCAAAATACATGTGGAATATCAAGAAACGATTTTTTAAATTTCAGGATTCTAACCTATGGTTACTTTTTTTTTTACCGAAAACCTAGTGACTGTTATTGTAAGGTCTTTTCCCAAGGTGAGATATCATAAAACAGCATCAAACATATCATGAGAGGCTGGACAAACTGTTCACAGTGTATCACAATGATCCTGGATATAAATTGTCCAGTGAAAAACAGAACAGGAAGTCTGAGATTCCAATTGGTTTGGGTTTGGGAATAGTGATTACCCTAATACTCCACTGATCAGTTTCATGAACTAATTAGCTTCATATCCTTTTCTTGTAAGAGCAAGTACAAGTACAATAGCAGGCTATAAGTCAGCTATAACCATATATCGAGAAAAAAAGAGAAGAGTGGAAAGAAAGCGGGCTACAGATTTGTAGCCAGCTGCAACACGGACTGCAAGACGTTGTGTGTGAATTAGCAGTGGGACCGGGTATTAATGGCGTAGTATATTAGGTAACTATTGTATAGAATTAAATCACAATTAAATTGTCCTCCTAATGGTGATAGGCAGAGTTCCTGCCATTTTGCCTAAAAAAAATCACAAACAAGCAAATAGTGTAAGTAACTTGTGTTAAGTCACACATACACTTCACACGACACATAATGTAGTATACTAGCATTTCAACACAGGTAAATATAAATACAAAACTACTTTGTTGGCCTTCGTACTCGTGGATAGATAAATTTTAATACCCAGGTATTATTTTTTTTAGATAATACCCAGGTATTAGTTTAGCTGCAAACTGTCAATTTTTTGCCATCACATTTTGGTGATTACATCATATTTTGCATAAATAATGCATGACCATCATTTCTTGACAACTGAATTTCATGGTAGTTACCATAAATTTTGATGATCATATTCCTGTGCTCCCATTGAAGGTGGCACAAGTCTAACAATGTATATAATTTATTTGTAGCTTGGATTCACAGATCACAAATGGGAACACAGGCAGAAGCATTTCTTACTAGCTGCGTTGACAGGATTGTCAATTTGCTTGAGGAGCATGCTGTTATGATTCTTGGGGTGAAAGACGATCTCAAGAAGCTACAGGCGAAAGTGGAGCTAATCAAAGCAGTTTTACAGGATGCAGAGAGGAAGAAACTCCAGTACAGAACAATAGAGATTTGGTTGAACAGCTTGAAAGATGTGTTATATGAAGCCGATGACATAATTGACTTGTGTAGAACTAAAGCCAGGGAATTGCTTGAGGAACAACCGTCTTCTTCTATTCAGCAAAGAAAAATGCATTGTTCTCTACTCTCTTTCTTTAGTACAGTTCGGCTGCGACATAAGATAGGAAGCAAGATCAGAAAACTCAGTGATAGATTAACTGATATAGAGAATAACCGCCTTGTGTTAAGTTTATGCCACTTGAAACCGTGTGAACAACAGGACACTACTGTCAATGTAAGGCAGACTTCCCCTCTGATTAATCTTGATATTGTTGGCAGAGATTGAAGATAGCACAAGGAAAATAGTTGACATGATCTTTTCACATGAGGATAACTTCAAAATTGTTGCAGTAACTGGAATGGGAGGGATTGGTAAAACTACACTTGCCCAAAGGGTTTATAACCATGTGAAAATTAAAAATTTCTATCCTACCACAATATGGATATGTGTTTCAAGGAAGTTCTCTGAGGTTGAATTAATACAGGAGATAATAAGGCAAGCACGAGGAGACTATGGACAGGCCAAAACAAAAGCTGAACTTCTACCGATCATGGCCAATACTGTAGCCAATAAGTGCTTATTTCTTGTGCTGGATGATATTTGGAGTGCAGATGTGTGGAATGCATTGCTTTGCACTCCCTTGCATAGTACTCCGAGATGTGGATGCGTCCTAGTAACCACTAGGCATCAAGATGTTGCGAGAAGTATTAAAGCAATGTATATACATGAGGTTCAGAAGTTACATACCAGATCAAGTCTGGAGCTGCTTTGTAAGAAAGCACGGGTGAGTAGAGAAGATGATATTGAAAATAGGGGAAGAAATTGTTCGCAAATGTGATGGTCTTCCCCTTGCTATCAAACTGATTGGTAGTCTCTTGGCAAGGAAGGGTCATAATCCACAACAATGGAGCGATGTTCTTAGAAGTGGAATATGGAACATGAAGGAGCTACCAGGAAAGCTAAAAGGGGCATGGGGTGCCCTATACATGAGTTACGAGGATCTGCCACCACATCTGAAACAATGTTTTTTATCCTTATCACTCTTCCCTGCAGATTATGATCTTGCTATTTGGGATCTACGTGCACTGTGGGTGGCTGAAGGTTTTTTACATCCAAAGGAGCAGCTCATAGCAGAAGAACTGGCTGAAAACTGTTATGCCGAATTAGTAAGTAGAAGCCTCTTGCAACCAATTGTTCTCTACGCTGACCAACGGAAGTGCAGAATGCATGATCTTCTCCGGTCTCTTGCTCAATATCTATCACGAGGTGAAAGCTTATGCGGAGATCCAAGAAAGTTGGATGCCTTTTCCTTGTCGAAGATTCGCCGCTTATCCGTTCTTATGGATGAAGAAGTAGAGGAGGAGGCAGATCCCCTCACACGATCACAGAGAAAGAATTTGTCCCTGAGGACACTGATGCTGTTGGAGGGCACTTCAATCTTTCAAAGGGAGACAATATTTAGTTTTCCATGCCTTAGGGTATTGGTCCTCAATGGGAAAGCTATCGAGAACCTTCCAAGCAGTATAGAAAATTTACTTCACTTGCGCATGCTTAATCTCAATTATACTAGCATAGCCAGCCTACCAATGTCCATTGGTTCCCTCAAGAACCTACAGATATTGTATCTAATCAGATGCTTACGTTTGCATAGCCTTCCTGCTAGTATCACTCAGCTTGATGACCTGAGATGTCTCGGTCTCAATGGTACACCTGTTACACATGTTCCAAAAGGATTGGGGAAACTAAAACTTCTTAATGACATTGGTGGATTTGTTGCAGGTGGGCACACAACATGTCAGACCGAATTGCAGGAAGGTTGGGGTTTGGAAGAGCTAGAGTCTTTGGCCCAACTAAGGTGGCTTTCCATAACTAGGCTGGAGAGA